AAAGGATGCAAACCACAAAGAAACGCTGTTTCCACGGCAACCAATGCTGGCAAGTTCTGTCACATGGCTTCTGCCATTGAAATCCTGGCGCCGGGGCTCGTGCTAATTCATTTGGGCAGTTCCAATGGCAACATGAGCGGGAACGTCAGCACTGCTGCAGTCATCCTCACTTTCAACAGGACTGCCGGTCTGGAGACAGCCAACAGGGTGCTCAATGATGCCGTCTATGGTGAGTGAACATTAGGGCACTCTCACTCCAGCACCAGTTTCTACCATGATCTTTCTTTATTCTACTATCCCAGAGAGCCGATTTAATTCTTGCCCATTTTAAAATAAAAGCTCTCCTTTCTTTTCCATACAACTACTAGGAACTTTCAGAAAACCTTCAAGTGAAAAACTTTAAAACACAGAGAAGTCGGACATTTACAGTAAATAGAGATTAACATACTGCAATTATTCAGCTCAGGTATTTCAGAGGCACTTAATTCCAGATATATGACCATTTCTTTCTACTACTGAAAAAATGTAACAACAAATATAGATATACTGCATAGTTTACTTTTGCTTCCAAAATCAACAAAAATGAAGTCACACATTAACATGTACTGTATTCTGTAGAATTATATTTAGAGCATATTTCTTTAATGGCTTCAAAAAAGAAAAAGTGACTTTTTTAACTTTTTTAAAGGGATTTGAGCCCTGAATGCCTTATCCATCCATTTTTCTGTTAACTTGTCCTAGAGAGTGTCAAGGGCGCCTCAATGTTATTACATATCATACAGTAAAAAGCAGTATAAAGGGAAACAAGCCTACAGATGTAATAATATGCTGCATGGTTTTGAGAAGACTTGATGTAGGTCAGTAACAGTTTCAGAAATCTCCTCTGGCTGTAATATATTCACATAAACACACTAAGCAATGTGACTGATCTGGGGAGTTTGAAAGAAGTCCCATTTTCTGATTTAAGATTTGAGCTAGTTAAAAATCAGATGCTTGAGTTCAAAATTCTTGTGCTCATAACAGAGAAGCATTACAAAATAAAAAGGTGAGTACCGATAAGAATTACGTATTTGACTAAATGGAATTTAAAAACTCTAATAGGACTTTTTATTGTCAAGAAGTAACTGTTTCTTTTCATAATACTAAAAATGAAACGAACAAATTTTTATTGCAAGCCTGACCTGAACTGCATCAAACACACGAGTGAAATGGTATTTCAAACCATCATCTTTAGAAGTTCAGGACATGTAACCCAATGAACTCAACATATTGAAGTGCCCATATATATTACTTGTGGATATTGTATATATTTAAAATGCAATATAAATCAACTGGATTTACCAAATTAGATAAATTAACAAAATGGTCCCGGAATAACTAGGTAATCCAGACTGATTCTGTGCTGAATATACTTCCTGTAGATTTTGAACGAATGCTGTTAATTTTCTGTTGTGTTTTAACCTTTCATTTCAGAATTCAAAGTATTTAACATCACAGTTACCTCGCTAGCGTTGGGTATTCTCGCCTTTACGGGAATTTTCTGCAGCATCTCCTATTACACCCGAAGACGGTAAGAAGCACTGAGATTTTCCTCACCTGTTGCGTTTTCCATTTGGGTTGTAATCAACCGAATGCATCTAATTCCACGTGCTTTTCCTTCCCTTTTCCTCTTCTTTGGTGTCCACCTATCATTTCACTGATGTTTTAAGCTTTGGTTCTAATCATTTAAGACAGTAAATTCAAAGTAGAGATCAATGATTTGTTTTGAATTTAAAACATTTTACTGTTTGGTCCTGCTCATCCAATCTTTAATGAGATTAAAACCGTCAAGACCACATTTTGAATAAGATCAACAATTAATTTATAATATAGCCAGGAATTATATGGAAGGCGGTCAAATATAGACATTGCAAGTAAATCAAGCAATATTTAAATGAGTTAATTGATCAAAAGAGACGCTTCAATCACAGACCAGATTCCATCCCTTTCTAATTTACATGAACACGCACAATTTAACCTGGCAGTTGACCGCTCGGGTTCAGCTGCTGTATGTGCCTTAATGCAGTTAGTCAGCAAAGTAATGTGGCCATAACAGGTTCAATCCAGTGTTAAAGAATAATTTTCTTTGCGGCTATTAAACCCCCGGGTAAAATGTTTCAGTGCATTAAGAAACGGAATCGGATTTCAACTCCCACTATAATAAATCTGTACAATAGCAACTTGCTTACAATAAAGTACTTGGAGCATTAATATTACAAGAGAAGTGCAAGACGATTCTCACAAAAAACCGTCTGTAAGGGGTGCCTTACTTGTACTCTGTGAATAACTAATGTATTATTTGCTGAGCCAGACCTAAAAATTGTTATGTTAAAATAATTTTATATTTTAAAACATAAACATTTTGGAGCATTGGTAGAGTGTTTTCAGAGCACAAAGAGCTTGCAGTCTCTATCTTGAATGTTTTTAAATATACTCCTTCTATTTTCTGTTTTCGTTTCTGCATCCATCACTTTCCTCATGAGTTTGAGGAAATTTAAATGAAATCCCTTTTTAGTCAAGTACCCTCAACCTTTTTGTCTGTGGAGTTGGGAATGTGTTGATACTGCAATGCACACAAAAGGGAATTTCATTTTATCTTTGTTCCTCTCAACCAGTCCTTTTCACTTACAGTAGGTAATTGAGGCACTGAACAGACCTTGCTTAAGTGGTGATGTCTCGAATGCACATGCTATTTTGAATGAGCTCTTCCTTCCTTTTTAACAGGCAATTCAGACAGGCCAGGGCGTATGAGAACACTGTCATTCACGAAAAAGCAAAGAGCCCGGTGGACTTCAAAGGAGTGAAGAGGAGCCACAGCCTCCGTAGCCCACTGGCCATGATGAGAAAGCAGGATACTTACAGGGACAGCTCTCAGATCTACTTCATATACAGCAATCCCATCGCCATTGCAGAGGGCAGCAATGTTATACCAGGAGAGCATCAGGTCACCTTTGAGAACATAGTAATGCAACGTGATGACATCAGAGATACCAAAGGAGGTATTATCCTTGATCCGTCCACATTTTACATGCAACTGTAGGATGTGGATATTGGAGTATGGGTGAAAATTGGGCTTGCATTTTATCACCCAATTTATCCCCCTGGCCCAGCTTCTTCTCTAAATATCTTGGTATATTCTGAATCACAATATCTTCTTCCTCAAACCCCCATGAGATATTCAATGAACACGCTGTATCAGACTTGCTCCAACAGCTAAAATTGATGCCCTCTTACTGTATATATGACACTGGTGCTCATTTGAACATAGTGTCTGAACTATTTTGGCATGTACAACAAGATTCAAAATGAAATAATGATAACCTTATGATCCCACTGCTCTTGGAGTGGAGGTTGTGGATTTCAGGTTCTAATGTCATCATTTTGCTTCAATAGGTCTAAAAACTAGTACTGAACTGTGATGAGAGAAAGATAGAACCTGGAACAAAGCAGGGGCGTGATGTTTCTGAAACTAAAATGTGTAACATTCCTAAACTGATAACTGCCGATTACGAATACTAGATGCGTTCTGTAAATATTGTATATTTCAATTTAATAGAATTGACAGCTTTTTTTTTTCCTTATAGGGTTTTAGATAACCATTTTATACTGCACAACTCAGTTTGCTTACACTTTTACAATGTTCTAAATATCCCTGATGGACTATGAACAGATGAAGCCACTCTGTGTATATCCGTCAATTTTGTATTGTTTAGGTGACTGCTAAGTGCGAAACATAGGAATCTCTACAACAGGCAGGAAAGAAAAGTGCAAATAAAGACTTTTTGATGCCTGTTGTGTGCCTGTATCCCATCTCCTTCTACCATTACACCCTCCAACAGATGGTAAAATGTTCATATTCTTACCTAATTAATCCAGTGTTATGCAAATTGAAACATGCCTCCCTGTCACCTCCACAAATAATAAAACTTGATATCAAATTAAAATACATCAAATTCGATTGAAGAAATCAACCTCCTGGGAACTGCTAATGAAAGAAAAAAAATACAGTATGGTTTGATTCCTCCTCCCCCATCTACAAATAGTTTTTTTTTCTCTGGATGTTTTCAAAAACAAAGATTAAAAAGAAAATACTTGGTTCTTTCAGATCTAGGCTTAACACAGTCAGGAGAAGCAGTCTGGGATGATGAAGGGGTTTGAGGATCATCAATAGAAATGTTCTCCTGTCACAAGAAATAAGTGAATGAAGAGTATCTTTCCTCTCAGCTCCCACACTCCCCAATCAATTTATGTCAAGCAGAATGGAAACAGGCTTCCTTCCAGACTCAATACCCTGTATGGTTTTCTGTAGTGAGTAAGGAAACAATGCTAAGTTTAGTTCTTACCAGCTACCAAATTTAGCCTAAGCCCTACAGCTCATGGTAATCACAGCTCCCACCCAGAGTTTTACAATTCTGAGGAAAAAATCATAAAGATGTCTGTGAAGTTTGACAATTTAATATTAATGTGTCTAAAATAAGTCAGTTCTGACTTTCCATTTTATAGCATTATGCAAATCTCATTCACACCTAGAATACAGTACACACTGTCCCGTTACAGTGCAGTGACTGCCTTGGTTTGCTTTTAAACCACACAAAATCCACCAGGCCAGGAATACATTCTTTTTCCGTAGCAAGTTGAATGCTTATTTGGACTGTGTGGACCATAGATAATCTTCCTTTAAAATTAATTCCCTTCCAAAATCTGCTATATTAATAAAAGAAATGACCCTTTACAGATTTGTTTTGCACAGAGGTTTGAATAAAATGTCTGTCTTACACTAAATCCATTGCTTTGTAGTGGGAAATTAAATTCACTGTATATATACATTTGAAAAAATCTATGGTCTAAAGATGGATATATGAAATTTGTTATGTTTTAGACATTTCTCATCTTCACAGATTAAACAAAAGTCTAATTTTTAATTGAATCGTTGAACTTGAAACATGCCCAAGTCAAAGTAATAACTTTAAGCAAGATTTTTTTAATATTATTAAAATCATTGACATAGCATTCTTATTATGTATTTTATAAAACATGTAGAAGTATACAGCATAAGATTAAGAATTGTCATGTATATAAAGAAAAAAGGATCCTTTAGTTGAATATTTTCCTTCCGGAGAACATTTTTGTTTGATTAAATAATCAGTTGATATTCCTTTCCAGGCTGCGCTGTTAGGCGATTGGGTTGGTTTCTCTGATCAGCCACTCGAGAGCATCCTTACGACCCTGCCTCTCAAGTTCCGCCCCCACCACTTCTCTGCATTGCCTGTGGTAGTCATTCAACCAGTCCCGCTGCAGGAAACAAAGAGAATCACATCACAAAATGGGGTTTATTTTATGGCGCAAACAAAACATTCAGACAAGACCATGACCTTGTGCAAGTGCTTTTAGTTACTATTTCTATTTACTATACTAAAACAAGACTAGCATTGCTGTCTTGTAGAACATGGGCCCTGGAGCCCTGGGTTCAATTCCTTGGGTGTTATCTGCATGGAGTTTGTATATTTTCCCCGTGTTCGCGTGGGTTTCCTCTGGGTGCTCCGGTTTCTTCCCACGGTCCAAAGACATACTGGTAGCTAAACTGGCTTCTGGGAAAATTTGCCCAGGTGTGAGTGTGTGCATTTGTGTCTGTGTGATGGACTGGCATCCCATCCAGTGTCCACCCTGCTTTGAGCCCATTGCTTGCTGGGATAGGTTCCTGCACCCCATGACCCTGTTTTGGATAAAGCAGTTAGAAAACGGATGGATGGATGGTAAAACTAAGGCAGATTTTTGGTGCAGCCTAAATGATGACTTGTTAGATTTCATCAGATGCTGTGAATGTATTCCGACATGCCAAGCACAGGATGAGAATTCAATATAGATGATGTTTGATTAGCTACCCACCACGCTTACTTATGAATTCAGGCAGGTTGTCATAAAAGTAACTCAAAGTAACTCACTTCCACATACAGTGTGCAATGATAGGGTAACCATTATAGGAGCACAAACAGAAAAACTGAATTGATATGCAAGCTGAGCCAAGGTAAACTGACTCATTGATGAGTTAAAACTGAAAAACCTGTTGGTGAAAAGACAGAAACTGTCACTTCCTAAAAGTTCAGATTGCCTTTGCTGGAGGGGACTACAATGACATTCTGGTTGGATGAAAACTTCTTACCTCCTTCTGAATAAGCATGTCCGTATTTATCATTTTGGCTTGAATGGGGACGAGTGTAATTGGTTCAAAAGTAAGACTGCCTCTGTTTCTGTAGTTATACTAGAGGTAGGGGGAAAAACAATAAATATTAGGAACAGGTGCTTCACTGTATCTGAATGAAAAATGTTCACTCTTTATCATAACTCCAGTTAATTACCTTAGGTTTGGCAGCAACTACCAGTACAACATTTTCAATTCGCATGCCAAAAGATCCATCTTCATAATAGCCAGGTTCTGAAAATTTAAAGAAATATCAAACTGTGCTTTGAACAAATGAATATAAAGTCCCACAACACTTTACTGCCCTATTTCTGAATTGAAGCACTTTTTCCATCATAGAATGAAACTGAAGTAAAAGTAACCACATGCTACATAAAATAAATATCAAACTATAATGTATATGAGGTTAAGTATGTCAGTAAACTTTATTAATCAGGCATTTACCATCACTGAGGATCATTCCCGCTTCCAGAGGCTCATCAGCAAAAGTCTTGTAACTAATTCCACAAGGTCCCTCATGGACATTTAGGAAACATCCTACTCCATGCCCTGTTCCATGAAGGTAATCCAGTCCAGATTCCCACAGTGCTGAGCGGGCAAAGGAGTCCAGGAGGTGCCCTGTAGACGAAAGAAGGAATTTTGATAACTTTTGATTTAAGCTACTTTTTTAAAAGAAATAAAATCTGGTAATTGAAACTGCACTTCCAAAGCCAACTGAAACATTGCTGTAATTGAAACTGGCTAATAACCCAAGAAAATATCAAATACAGATCAGTACTGAGACATTATGACAAAGACAGCAATATGAGAAAGAATGGTAGATCTCTTCCATACAGTACAGACTGTGAAACGCTTCTTAAGCTTTACCTTATGGTTTGAGCAACACAACTCAGGACCTTATTTATCATTTACTGACCAATCCACACCCCAGTCCTTTTTTAGAATTGTTTTACTTCAATTCTTTTGTTAATGTGAGACAAGTGCAAATAAACACATGAAATTTAGCTGGAAAGAAATAACATACAGTAGGCTTGCCAATCAACCACACTCCTGCCTAGTAACATGATTTCTCAAAGCACATCAAGAAGAAAAAACACTAAATCCTCCATTATAGTTAATAGCATTACATAAAAGCATATGCATATCTCCCGGTTAACTTACCAATTTCACTTTATAACTTACATACCTTTGGTTCCATTGGGAAAAACAGCTGCACTCACTGCTATATGTCCCTTCAGAACATAGGTAAAACACTCCTGTAAAAAAGAGTGGTAAATGGCAACTTAAAAAAAATTAGGGTTACAAGGCTATTTCACAAGGAAGCCATTCCACATTAGACTACAAGCCTACTTATAAAAACACATCCAATTTTGTACTAAACTGATCAAGCCTCAAAGGAAGACACAAGGAAGCAGAAAAAGACAAAAACGGCCTCAGTTTAAATCAGATTTTACTGCACTTCATGAAATAAACAAGTGTGAATCCATAATTACTCTAATAATAATATTTATATATAATATTTTTCTGCTGTTACAAGTTTTTTTTTTGCTAGATATGACTCAGAGGAATTTAAGATATCCAGAGTACCTTTTCATAAGCTGAAGGTGTCCCAAAGTGCATGGTTCTGGTCACGTCTGTAGTTCCATCTCTGAAAATAGAGATAAATGCATATTGTACAATTACAGTTTGAACCTTCAAAAACTAGGCCAAAAACTGTTTTTTTTTTAATTGGACAGTGGTAAAAATACTGTATGTGGCCAAGACACTTTGATAGGGCCATTTCATTTTCCTATACTTTGTGTTTCACACAGTGTGTGCAAAAGCCACAAAGAAACAATTTGTGAGGAAAGAGTAACCAAGATCATTTTATACCATTTGGCTTCATAAGGTCATTGGAAATTATGCATTCTCAAGGTACAGCAAATCAAATAACTTTAATAAACGTAGAGAGTGCTATCAATGGACTTTTGTCTCTGTAAAAAAATCCTTTGGCATAGGTTACTACTTACTGAGGATGCACAAATGGTATTGCTCAAGAAATTCAAAAGATACATACTTGTACTGAGCCCCAGAGTCTATGAGGTACACCTCATTTAAAGAAAGAGTCCTGTTGGTTTCTGGGAGTGGCCTAATGAAGAAAAACAACTCAATAAACATAGGTCCACGATAAAACCATGCAACTACAATCTAATTCAGATCAAATAATTTTGCATTAGTACATAAAACACATTTCAAGAACTACTGTATGAGCTAACCCTAGTAAAGAATGGTTTAATGCAAGAAAACATTCTGAGATATAGATTTATACATATTTAATACTTTTAACAAACATTTTCTAATACAAGCCAAATATTCGTGTTCTTACGTGTAATGAATGATAGCAGCATTTGGTCCCACACTTGAAATTGTTGGAAAACTCAAGCCGACAAAATCTTTCTGTTCACTATATAAAAACATAATTGTTATTTAAGCATATAAAAATAAAAATATACAAGCCCCACAGTCCTTCCAGTACTAGAGTCACTGTTTGTAGACTCTCTTTTAATTAAGAGATAATACTTAAGTATATTAAGCTATTAAATTCAGAAGCCATTCCTAAAACTAGTTTAGCACTAGCAGTAGATGGAAAAAAAAGGAAATTTCTTAACGTAGGACAGATAATGACAGAGAGAAATAAACATAACATACATTAGACAGATTAACATAGAAATAGGAATTCTAATGTGACCCTGATTTAGTATCACTAAGGAATTGTATTATTTGCTGTAACAAGTACCTAAAAACCTTTGTCTATTTTACTGCTTATCTTTGAGAATTCCACAAGGTGGCAGCACACTCAAAATAAAAAGCCATTTCTGAACTATCACTTTGACATCAACCTGTTAACTGAAAACAACTGTAATCTAAGGGGCATGTTTGCTCCTGCATTTCCCAGAGAAACAGGCAAGACTGCCACCGAATAACATCTAGATATTCTATTGGAGACTCTACAGTTTCTTCAGTGCAATTTGTACATTACAAGCCTAAAATGCATCAATATTATACAACACAGGAGTATTGAATGTCTCCGTCTTATGACACATTTGCCCCCTTGAACCAAGGGGAATAGAGATGGGACAAAGAGCTTTCCAATGATTCCAAATTTCTGACCACATGATGTATGTGTAAAGGAGGGTTAGGCAAGGGAGAAAAAACATCTTAGGGTTTGAAAAAAAGATCACTTCCACCAGCTCTGAAATGAGGAATAAAATGTGATGAACAACAAATTACCTGCGAAGTTCTTCAGCTTTGTCAGCAGCTGATATTTCTGTCACTGTGCCTTTTGGAATCTAGGAAATAACAATTGTTAAAAATTTCAGCTTCAGCAATGTGGTAGCTGTTCAGGTTGTTGGTCTGTCAAATCACTGTGGGCTTAAAAGTTGTACAGTGTGCTAGTTTATCATTTTAAACAAATAGCAAAATCCATACCTCTTTTTCCAGCCATGCAAACAGCTCACAGAGTGCAACAGCATCTTTAATCTAGAAAAATAGATAATTTCCATGTTTTACCAAACATGCAAATTTAAATACACTTTTAAGATGCGACCCCATTTTATGATGCTTTGTCCTGTACTTACATGTGCCATTTTCATTCCTTCTATTTCAGTAGAATTCTTCACTGCTTTGGCAAGGCATAATGGTGTGCATGGGATGGGGGATCTGTGGGCCTGAAGATGGAATATTTAAATCCACAGTTCATTTTTCAATAAATAATTACATCCTATTAGAACTTTTCCAAACATTATTCAGTCATTCATTTTTTTCTGTGCCTGAACAGACAGCAGGGAAGCACAAATCTAAGATCACAGACACTCCTTTAAACTCCTATCTGGAATACGTTACCTGGCCATTTTGTGTAGGCTGATGCCCTGGCTTTCTTTAAGAAACCGCAGGATGAGGCCAGATCAGTACTTTCTTTAGATCAGTAATTTACTGATCAAGAGTAAGCAAGAGTGAGATCGGCTGAACGGTCTCCTCTTAAGCCAGAGGACACAAATGGAAACTACTGTACATAGAAGTGCAGTGCTTTTAAAAAAAGCATCAATAGGAAGCACAACTCTAAGGGCTGTGGAAGTGTGAAACAAGCCACCCAGCCAAGAGGTTGAAATTGATGCTTTGGTTTCTGTCAAGAAACAGCTGGTTAGGATCCTTAGGTCAACTGACTACTGAAAAACAAAAGATGACTCAAATGGCTTTCACTAGTTTGTTACCTTCTCCTTTATCGCTTTGCTTTACTCTTACGCAAAAGGTGTAAAAGTAAATGAGAAGGCAGTGAAAGAACAGGAAAACACTAGACCATATCAAGCTGTACTGAAGCACTTATCTTCGAGTGGTGCACACCTTTGGGATGGCCTGTGTCAAGGCACAGCTGGCTTTGTCACTGATCCAGACTTTGTCTTTAGGGCCCAGAGTGGCACAGATAGCCTGGAGCTCAGAAAACACAGATTCGTAGGGGGAAATCTGGATGCTGTACTCTGTCTTACAAGAGGGGTCCAGATGCAAGTGCTCTCTGACAGCTGGATCTACCATTCGGTTTTGATCAATGAAGAGCCTGGTAAAAGCACAGATATTACAGTTCAGGGGGTGCATACTCCATCCAGGTGTAAGGTAGCCACAAACAGCAGAGGAATCAATCTATAACTTGCATGTAAATACTACATAAGTCCAGATTCACAGTGGTACACTTGAAAGGATGTTTTTAAACTAGCTTAAATAAGTCAGTTTTCCAATTGAGGAGGAGGTGTGACAATTTCTTGTACTTTTTTACATTTTAAGGGGAACTGCAATGCCACTTTTTTTTTAATCAGCATTGACGAGTGCTTTTCAAACCACCGCCATGAAAGTAAAATGTACACGGTAAGTTGTAAAATCTCCAATTTATTTCACAAAACAGACTAAATTTCCAGGTACATGCAGCACCATATTCTGTGATTCAGAACGAGGCTATAAAACTCCTAGTGACATGAAGTGGCCCTATTACATTGTAAATGAACAAAGCTAGTGAATACATCTCTTTTAATACAATATAAATATTGTTCTCGACCTCGAGATGGTTTTGCCAACAAATACTACTAATTTGATAACTCTGCATGCTGATCACGTTAGAACATTTCTGAGGTGAAATGTCTGCTGCACAACATGTACTTATTTGCTCGTACATCACATTACGTTAGTCATTACAGTGACTAGCGAGCAGGAGGGAAAAACATCACAATCTGTACAAACCCTTACTCTTGCCTCTTGTGGCGAGACCAGAGGGTTGTGACAAAATGTAGACCATACAGTACTTTTACAAAATTCACAATTTTATGCTTAATTCAGAAATTATAAAATTCGTGATATTGTCAATTAATTTTTTTTCTTACTGAAATTAAATAACCTGTCAGAGAAATTGGAACTGCAGTTCCCCCTTAATTTAAAAGTAGATATAATCAAGAAAATATTTTTGACACATGAAAAAACTACTATATCAATTTATTTTTCTTCTGTTCAATACTGTGTATTAGGTGTTTGTGTATTTTACTAAGCAAAAGATAGGTCAAATAGCTTCCATTAAAATAATTCCCAAGGATGAATTTTACTTGCACTGCAAAGTTCAAAAAGGTATCATCCGAAAATTATGTGCATATGCAAAAATCACAATACAGTCATTTAATCACACCACTGGCACTAATGAGATTTTACAGAGTAATTAGTTATTTGTTAGTATTAGAAAAACTAATTTATCACATTGTAAATAATATGCATACTAAAAATATTTATGTACATTAACATGTACAGATACAGTTCTAACTCGTTGAGAAAAGTACTTTCTCATTTTACAGAACAGAATTATATATAAATTAAGCAAATCACTTCAGACAGAAAAAAAGATTCTATTTGAATTGAAAAGATGCATTTTTTTCTGTTCTTATGTTTGATTTACCCACTTGTATTTGAAAGTCACCTTAGCACATTTTGTTTTAATATTGCGTATTAAACAGCATCCTACAGAGTAAATAACGAATTGATTCTTTCCACTGCTAGTATGTTTTATTTAATTAGAACTGCTTTGTTATTCTATTTCATAGCAAGAGGTGGCAGCTCCATTAATGCCTGAGGAATGCAGCAGAAAATGAACCTGGGTTATTTAATTTCAACCTAAAGTCAGAAATTACATTTCAAAACAAAACTAAAATTAAGTGGCAATTTAAAGGTGCTGCTGTAAGAGAAAAATATTAATCTCACGTGTCTACCTTCTTCATAATAGTTTTTTGAGGGAAAAGGTGGGGTTATTATTTGACACTGTGGTTAAAAATTTAAATCCTTTTAAATCTGGCAATGGCACTGAGAGTGGACAGTGATCAGGCACTTCTGTGATGGCTGTAAATGTAAAGTACTGAGTTATTATTTCCATGCAAAAACACACTTTACCTTATGGAGCTCATTCCAACAATGGCATAAGCAAAAAAAACTGGATTATACTCGATGTCAGAACCACGAAGGTTGAAAAGCCCTGAAGGAAAGAAAAACATAAATGTTACACGTCACGTATTACCAAAGCATTAATCTTTGAGATAGAGATGCCATCTTCACAGGAAGCACTGCCATGAAGGTCTTAGTACCATAGACCTTGGTTAATTGTTCATTCATTTCAATCATAAATTCCAATCTATAAAAGCTTGATACATAAGGACCACCTAGGTCTGGGAAAACATCTGCTACTATGCTCTGCTACTAAGTACTTATGCCATTTATGTTATTTTGTGATATAATATTTATAGGTTGGATAAACAGGATTTATACTTAATCATCATGTATTAAAAATATTTTGTTTTCCCTACTATTCACAAAAGAAATACTATGTAAAACTACACACAGCACAACAAATTCATTACATACAAAAATTAAAGTTTGTTTTTAAAACTATTTTCAGAGTGGCCACCTGAGGAAAGCTCCCCTGATATTACATCACACATACTTACATGCAATTTCATCAAGCGCTGTTACAACAAACCAGGTAATTCTTCTTTCAGACATTTTTGTCCGCAGTGCTATAACCTTATCCTTCCAGGTCATACCTACAATTCACAAGAACATGTTTATTGTTCTCACTTTAGGTACATTTTGACATCTGGTTGCCTTGTGTGGCTTCTAAGAAGAAAGAAACATGAGATGACCATTTTCAAAACCTCTAAATGTGAATAAAATTCACACTGTTGCACAAAGCCATAACATAATTCACAAATTACTCTGAAAGTAACAACATCATTAGCTCTAGCTATGTATACTTACATCCCATTTTTACTAGCGTGCAAGGCAGGACTCACCAGTGTAGTTCAATCCCAGAGGGATTAATGGTGAACTGGGTCTTGCTGGCCGATCTACCCAAATGGCATCAATGAGATTTTCTTTAACTGCAACTAGTGTGTGTCCTGCACTAGTCAATGCCTTAGACATGGTTTTCCACTGATCTGAAACAAATTAGTCAGTTTAACAGATTAGTATGAACCTAAGTCTCCTAAGATACTTACAGTTTGTATTGCACTGAAAGAGACCTGAAGATTTTGACTTATTGCTTCTATAAACTGTTTGCTTCCCACAACTGACCTGCTGCTATTATCCAGGGATCAACACCAACTTTGGAGCTTTCAGGAAGAACACTTATTAGCCAGTCTTCCTGAGATGGAGTTTCCTTTAAACCTGCATGGGTAATAGAGTTAATCTGATATTATTCAACATTTTAAAAGCAATAGTGACATGTTGGTAAAAAAAATCAACAATTGACAACTATTTTTTTAGCTAAAAACATCCAACGGGCCAGCAATTCCCATGATGTTAGTAGAATGACACACAACTAGATAACAGAGAATGTGGGACCTGCCATCTTATCTCCCTGTGCAGTGCTCTTAACTGCAAACTGACTGTTGTATGGCAGTGTGGCGCTCACAACATGAAGACTGATGAATGGCTCTGAAATACCCTAATTTTGATTACACAGAACAGAACAGGTGTTGCTATAGTTACCAGAATCATAATTGATTGACAAGCAAAGATTACAATTTGAAAAGGTAAAAAAAAAATATTCCACATTTTAAAAAGGGATAAAGGGAAACTCATACCCATCTTCATTAGTGTCCAGTTACTGTCCATCTGCTGTCCAGCTTGTAAAAAGTAACGGCCATCTGTCCACATGGCTGCATGATGCTCCGTGATAATTGCAGTGCCTACAGAGAAACGCCACTTCAGATAATATACAACGCGTGGACAACAAATTTATCATTTTCAAACATAAACACCTATACATTCACACAGGGTATAAAAACTATGCAGGCCCCTGGACAACTTTGCTATTAGCAAACAAGCTATCAACGTCTGCATGGCCTTCATTCATCTTTAACCTCTGACATTCCTATTGAGAATCAATAGTAAACTTGCAATATACTGTACATGCAGCTTATTAACCATCTTAATTCAAAATAGTGCATCAAGTTTAATATAGCACATTTCAAATAATTTAACTAGAATGGTTCTGATAACAGAAGGGTTAACTCATTTGTTTTAGGGCTTTACCTGCAGACCCATTAAATCCAGAAATAAATTCACGTCTACAGTCACAAGGCGCAATGTATTCACTCTGCAAAAAACAGGAGACAGCAGAGAAAGAAGGAAAGAACATATTCTAATTAGGAGGTTTAAGACCGTGACAGCCTATATGATCAGCTACTTCCTTTTCACTACAAAGGAAAATAGATACTAGCAGATAAGGACCTACTGTTCGTTCCATTAGCTTAAAGGGAAAGAAGTGCCACATACTGTACAGTAATATGCCAGGGTTTACCAACTAAGTCTTCCTGACCCCCGTGTCTGCTGGTTTAGGTTCCGAGTCCTCGATTATTATGTAGACCGTATTGCTCTAATGAAAGGTAACGACAACTACTTTCCGTTATTTATATAATTCTGTCTAGGAGTCGAAAACTCCACACATGTAGGGATCCATATTTCCCTGAATATATTTTTGGAATAGCTGCCTTTTTTTTTTAAGAGCACAATTTATTATGATTATTTTGTTCTAATCTCTAGACTTAATTGTCAAGACACTGTCTCTGCAAGAGAGCTTCTTTGTCTCAGTTTTTGAAAAATATTGAATAATTTTATATAGTCCTACAGTGCATAGCCATGTAGTTTGCAATTCACAATTGTTTCCAAGACTTGGCTCATATCTACCACTCCTGCACAAGGAGAATGAGAACTGGAAGTAATTTCTTCAACACAGACACAATTCCCTTGATACAGTATGCATTACAGATACTAACATATATAGGGAGACTTCTCTGAGGGCAAAGTTCTTGTGCCATGTGTCCCCAGGATGGCTGTCATTTAAGAAAATAGTAGACCTCGTGCGACATCTAAGATGTGTGCTTTTAAAACTACAGACATCAGTATTTTAAAATCTTCTGACAATTTGTTCACTAGGCCTTAAAAATCACAGGTCTGAGTAATCAAAACAGATGAAAAGTACATTTCCACTGGAATATACAATGATCAATATAAGTCAAGTATCTAACCACCTGGTGTGCATCCCCTGATGGCACTATGTAAGCTTGAATGGGCTCAACGATATAGCTGCTGTTTCTCATTGCTTGCCTCAGCTGCCGAAGCAGCTCAGTCGTAATCTTGGGAGACATCCCTTCACCTGTAGAGATGGAAGACGTTAAATATTAATAATCAAAGTCCAGTCATACACTACAGCTTAACTCAGCCCTTGCCCCCTAATAATTATCTTTTGAGATCATAAGATAAATAGAGAATAATAATCTAAAAAGTGTACATAGTATGAGGTGAAAATAATTATGCCAACATCCATACATTTTCAATTTTTATTGACTGCCTTAATTTGAGGCAGATGTTGGCATAATTCGCCATGGCCCTAACCAGGACAAGCAGACTGAAAATGGGTGGATTTCAGCCTAATTATTTTCATCTCATATTATGTAGGCATAATGACACGTTCATTGTCATGACAAGGCTCCACAGCTGAAACATTGTGTTTCTTTTCTTCTCTTTTCAGCATGGAATAAACCTTTACCTGTTCCTTTGCATAATGACAAGTTGTAGATAAAAAGCATGACACCATGCATAAGCTTATTTTAATTATTAAACTGATTTAGTTTTAAAAAAAACTAGCACTTTGTCGGCAGCATGCTTAGTCTTTGTTAAGTAAATTAACCAAGGCTTTTAAATATCAACGATCATTTTCACACTACATTTTCTAATCTCGTCAATCCCATTCTTTTTATACCCTATAAGTTATTTAAATAACATAAAATAAAGTTTCTGCACTTTATGCCAAGTTTTAATTGGCAAGATTGTTCAAACATTCCTTTGACATTTCACTCCATCTCTTTCTCACAGGTAAAAGCTGAAACTAAGCTGAAAAGCTGAATCCATCAGAATCAATGTTAGCACAAATTAGATACACTGTATATGTTTCAAGATTAGGCAAACTGATCATTTAAAAGTACCGTGTAACCCAAATAAGGTAAACGTTTCATATTATTGCTTTTATCACAGTGAATAATTATAGTACATTAGTCTTTGAAAATGAAAAAAATCAAACAAAAGCTGTTTGTTTTCTACTTCCTTAACATCTAAAGAAATTCTGCAGTGCCTTGTGTTTTAAAAATAAGTATAGCTAATCATAGCACAACAAATGTACTTTAATAAGTCTGCAAAAGTGCAAAAGAGATGTGCAAAATTAATTTACCTTGACTCATTCTCTGAACTGAAGTGTTTAAATAGTCTGGATATCTGAAGAATAAAGGCTGTTCTGCTCTTTTGCCTCCGAGTTTGAAGGTTTAATGGTAACTGATTCAGCATTTTTCAAATCTACAGACAGCCACAGTTAAAGATTGACTGCATATCACTTTTTAACTACAGCTCAAGTATGCCAGGTTTTTTATGATATGATTTACTATGCAAGTTCATATAAAGCCTTTGAAGACTCCTGACCAAGTTTTACACTTGACAGGAAAAGAAAAATTGTGTTTGTTTTTTGTTTCCCTTGTAAGCACACTGCCAGCTATACACAAAATTAAATAGGCAATTTGCCTATGGTTTGCAGAAAGAGTGAGTTAAGCCTAACATATTATTTTACTGCAAGTACTGTATATGCAATGATGATGTTTTAAAAAACAGAGTATAGAATAAGCATTATATAAGGTAGTATTTAATTAAAGTAATGGCCAAAGTATTCACAAGATAATCAACATACACATTCTGTATACTGTATGTTGATTGACTAGAAAATAAAAACTGGAAAGATATTGTAATGGACTATTACTCATGATTTTAAGCCTCAAACCAGTACTATATCTTGGTATGATAACACCAAGATATTACATAAAAAGGAGACAATTATTATTACTTTAAAAACAAGTATCAAGTATTACTATACTGTATTTAAAATTATGTTTTATTGTGTTGGCTATTTACTATACAGTGTATACAGTGCCTTGCAAAAGTATTCAGACTCTTCACATTCTCTTATTTTAAAGCTTGCAGTCACAACATATTCAAGTAACAATTAAAACCTGTTATATAGACAATCTATTCCACATATTCAAATAGAAAAAACAAAAAGATTTTAAATAATAAATATGAAAGAAAAAATGAAAAATCAGGAATTTATTTGCCACAGTAAAAGCATTCAAACCTTTGCTGTGGCAAACCTAAATTATATAATTTTATGTGAATAGTGGTTCTCCTAATTTAGAAAAATAGTTTTGACGTTTCCTTCATCAAATAGTGAATTTCAAGCAAAGGCTCAACTATAAAGACCAAGAACCTTTTTAAAGAAAATCAAGGATAAAGTCATTGAAAAGCACAGATCACAGAAAAGGTACCAAAATATTGAAGCCTCTGAACATCCCCATGAGCAGAGTCAACTCAACCACCAGGAAAGAGAAGGTGCACCATACCATCCAGAGACTACTCAGATCAGGGCCGTCTGTCCGAATCACACCACTCTGTAAGGAGGATTCTGGGGAGGGACATCACTGTGAGGCCCACAACAGCTTTGAATAGCTATAGGGTTCAATAGCCAAGTTGGGCCTGTATCAGTCAGCAATATCACATGCACTCCACAAAGCTAGCCTGTACGGCAGAGTGGAAAACACATATTACCAGCATGGAGCTCCACAAACCCATTGAGTGATCCTGCACAAATGTGTCAAATGGTGCTGTGGTCAGATAATATAGCCAACACAATTAACCATAATTGTAACTTTTTGATCTAAATGTGAAGACGGATCAAACACAGCACATCTCCCAATCAACATCATCCCTAAAGTAAAGTAGCATTGTGCTACAGTACAATCAGGCTTTTTTCTCAGCAGGGAGTAAAAAGTTTGTTAGGACTGAAAGAGAAATAGATGGAACAAGCAAATTACAGGAAAGATTTGAGGAAATCTGTTTCAGTCTGCTGAATATTTAAATCTTGGCTGAAAAGTCACCTTTTAGCACGATAATGATCCAAAGTAGAAGGCCAAAAGCTACACTGGGGTGGCTTAAGAATAAAAAAGTGAACATTCTGGTTTTTAATGTAATATTACTTAACAAACTGTATGCGTTGTTTTGTAATATAACAAAATGGGACACAATAGAGTAATTCTAAATACGGGAAAGTACTGTACATATAACCGTTATTAGGACGAATTCCTAAAACTACTGCGTGTAAAATACAAATCAGTGTCATACTTCAGGAGCTAGATCACGGTTAATAAAAGAAGTGTACTAAAATGTTGCCTCTCATTCAGTCCACGTTTACACTTTAAGCTTCATACATACAGGTTTATGAAAACGTAATAGTTTTGCATCACTAAATTAAATTGGTACTGCGGAGTCTTTTTTAGTTATACAAAATTTATGATCATAGCTTCGCCGAATCTTTGAAATCGACTGTGTCAAAAATAACGCAGCCCCTTGTTGCCAGCTTCATATTACGTAATCCTGCAAAGTGAATACAAGAGTATGTAGTATTTACAAATTAAATCTGAATGTGTAAGACAAATAATCGTCTCTAAAGAAAAAGTAACTCTATAAATTCAATTTAAAAGTTATTAAACGGTTCCTACTGAGAAGTAGGACTGTCCCTGGCAACATAAATGAGAGATAATTACAAATCCGAAAACCCCAAGTGGGATATGACGGTCAGCACTATTAGTTTTCCTTAGCCTACGGAATGCGTGTGTTATTTTGAATGATCTGATGAAAGATCTCTGTTCATCAATTAATTTATACGCTTAAATTAACTTCATGATTTCTACCTGCTTTGTTGCAGTTGTTGTGCTTGGATCGCTGTAGTTCCGTGTGTTAATATCTGCATCTGGAAGCTGCCATTTCAGCAATGACATAGAAGCCCATGTGACCAGCCAACCCAACCACTCACGGTGTCCGATTTGCCATCTCCCCAGGACAGGGGTTGAGGATGGCGTTGCTTTGTATTTAAACTGGTTTGCGTTTACTGTATTTCAAGGGAGGGTTCAACCCAATATGTAATCCCGTCAGGATAATCGCCCGGATTTCTTTCATGAACGCAGAATAGTGTTTTACGGACTGAAAACGTCTGTACACACGACTAAATGGTATGAAGAAAGATCTAATATTGTGTATGCGTTTTATTAAAAACACTGAAAGAATGTAATAACTACACCTCGTTTAAGATTGCAAAGCCCATTTTTCTATCAATTGGAAATGCCTGGCATGTCTTCCTACGAATTCTAATCTGTGATTTGTGTTCACTTCCGTTATCGCTCTGTGAAGGGGCAGTTTTTAATAGCACCGCACCTCGCTATGCGACATCCCTTTGCCGTCTGGGTGTCCACTGGCGAAGGTGTACTTTGGCTGGAATAGTTTAGCATTGTAGGTAACATCAGAAGAAAGTAAGCCTGGTTGTTTTCCTTTTCGTCCTCATATTTTGCAGCAGCTACAGTATGTGACAGAATATTTGAAAATCAACACTGGGTATATTTCAATGGTACTTGTTCGCTAGAGATTTCAGGAGTTTTTTAAACTTACATTAATGTGGTCACCACATATATTAATACAAAGAATAACTTCAGTAAGCTACCACATTTTAAACTAAGCAATTTTTTCACCTGTTCAGGTAACAGTTTGATGAATGCCCCAGTATCTGTCAAGATAATACACACAGTAATCTACCCTGTATCCTGGCTTCTCGAACTGTCGTCTTTACTATCCAGTGCAGTTACCACTTCATTTACAATGTTCCTGCAAAATATGAATAACAATACTAAGATGTTCATGTGTCACATTGAAGCAAGGTCATTGAGGAGTAAGGAAGAGCCATCGTTTTGAGAAACCTTCTCTAAAGCTAACTGAAAAATAGACAGACTAAAGACTGTCAATAAAATCAAGACTAATCTTCTAAATTCTCTCATAAATTCTCTTAATTCATTGTTTTATTTCACACCTCTCTTCACCTATCCTGACTTCACACTACCTGATTGGCCACTCTTGTCTGTTCCCTGCTCCCGCCTCCACTCCTCCTCTTTCTCAGCTTTTGTTCTCCTGTGCTACATTAACTTTGCTTACTCCCTTGTCTTTCTCAGTCCACAGCTGAACCGTTCCATTTTCTTTCTTCTCTTTTCAGCATGGAATAAACCCATTACTTGTTCCTCTGCAGCCTACACATGCTGTTGCAGCTACTCACCTGAACTATCTGCAAAATTTAACGACATTAAAACTAGAAGAGTCTCGCTGAACCTCCTGTTCCTCTCATCTTCACTATGGAAGGCTTGCACACACAGACTCACACCCTGGCCATCTTCCAAGAAACCAATTAATCTACCAATGTCTCTTTGCACTGAGACATAACCAAAGAACCTGTAGGAAACCACCATGAACATGGGGAGAACATATGAAGTCCACAAAGAACTGTAGCACCCCAGGTCTGGAGTTGAACCCAGGGCCCCAGCACTGCAAGACAGCAATGCTCACCACTGCACCAGTCTGCCACCTTTGTGACAAATCCTCCTACTAAATTACTAGTAAGCGGATGTTACTAAGAATTGTCATGTGCTGAGGCTATTATTTGGCAGTCTTTCAAAAATTGACATTATCGTGCTGTCAAAAACAATATAAGGCAAAAAGGACTCGGATATCTCTGAGAAAAAAATATGAACATATAAATTGGGAATTTTAAGCCATATTGCCCCTTCATCTCTGTTGGTATCCTCAGTGTATCCTTGTTTCTCAACCCAAGAACTTTATTTTGAAATTTCTTTGCCCCCCCATGATATGATATGATTATCTTTGAAAATGAATCAGGCTTAAAATTAACTAAAATGTCAACCTACAGTACCCACCTTTTACGATTTTAAGACCCTGCAGTATGTGTTGATATACAGTATAAGTACTTTTTTTGTTGTAGTTTTGGTGTACAGAAATGCCAAAACTTGAACCAAGTCCTTAATCTTTCCTTAATGATTAAAAGATTGTAATATACAGTAAGAATAATAATAATAAACTTTATTTTATATAGCACCTTTAAAGGTGGCTTCTCAAAGCGCTTTACAGGATGACAATAACAGTAAATAAGAAGACTATAACAATAAATAAGAAGATTTCACAAGAGATGCCTACTAGGAGGGCAGTCCACATAGCAAGTTACTGTGCTATTGGGTGTCACAGGGGCAGAATATTTCTGGACGATTGCCATTTGCTGGTTGTTTATTAGAAAAATGGTGGTGTATTAAAAATAAAAAAGAGGAGGACAATACACTGATCAGCAGCCCTGGTCTTCTGGCATTAACTAACTAACCAGTGCCTTAAGCTCTGGCTTTTAGGTGTGATTGATGAGCTTGGAAAGTACACCCTAACAATGTTGCAATTGCTTCCCATTTTTCCTGTGCTTTGTATTTTGTTTTCCTTCTTTTTTTCACTAATATCTCAGCCCTGACTCTATATTATGTGGTGTAATATTAAACTTTCTTTGAAATATACAATATTGCTTATACAGTACAGCAAAATGAATTTGGTAAATACAGCATTTGATATAACACACTTCTGGAAAAAATGAATTGACTGGCCTACAACACCTCTGTCAATACATTATCTATAAAGTTGTTTTTGGTATCTGTGTAGTACTATAGTAATTGAGAATAAAACAACAAAAGTACAGAAAAAAATCATTCTTAAGTTTACAAAAAAAACTATGAAAGAAAAACCTATTAAAGGAAAATGTTCTATTAAAGAAAACTGAATAATGCAACAGAAATATAACAGTATTGTGAAATAACAGTTTTATAACAAAATTTAAAAAAATCTTACGTTAATGTTTAACAGTACAGAAACATTTGTGTTAACAAAAGACAAATTGTGTATTGTTTTCTTTTTAAAGGAAGCATATTTTGTCCTAGAAATCTACCATATCCTAAGAGAGATTAAATGTTTTATATACAAGTATAAACATCACCCGTGAGCAGCTCTGAATAATTTACAAGATCTCTCAGAGTTCCAAGACAAGGCAAATCCATAACTCAATAATATCACTACCTGCCTTACAGAAAAATGATTTTCTGTATTGCTGCATAAAAAAAAAACATGAAGGATACATTTAAATATCAGCATGTTGAAAACAGTTCAGTCATAAAAAAATGTTTAAGAGTAAAGGTCAATTTTACAGTACATACTATGATTACTGTCATTTCTTTCATCTTCAGCACCTACACCCTGGGGGAAATCTTTGAAAATAATTATACACTAAAGACCCATATTTCCCCTGTGGGTGGACTGCGGGTAGAAATTCCCATCTAATTAATTTGCTACAGGGAAAGTAGTTTGCCCACAGACAGAAATCAGCACACTGGTCTTTTTTTAACATGCTGATCTCCAACTCTTCAGGAATAGATTTGGGTAATAGGAAACAAGAATAGATCTTATGAGAAAAATGTGTAAGTATGTTTTAGCGGTTTACTATAGTTTTCAGTTCTGGACTATTATCAGTCACAGATACTTCAAGGACTTTGCAGATACTTGGGCTAGACGGCAAGAGTTGGTACCTGTTTTAAAGCTACACGTACAAAAACAAAAGGAAATCTAAAAAAGGCAAATTAAAGGGTCTGAACATTTCTTAACCAGGTGTTTAAGCACTCGCACCAGACATAGTAAAGAAACTCATGTGCCCACACGCACTTCGGAGAGCTACTAGAGAATGGGGAGGATCACATGCACTATGGCATAAATCACAAAACGTGTGGGTTTTTTTTACCTTTAGGAAAGGGTAATTCTAATACCTCCTAATTCCACTACATTTTTGAAATTCTCTAGATTTGTAACAAACAAAAATGCAAATCCCCTAAATAAGAAAGCACCTTTTTTTCCATTTACAGTATATCATAATTGATACAGCAACAATACAACAACAAAGGTTTAAGGACTGAAAACCTACTGGTTTCAGTTAATGCAGCCTAGCCAGTCAATATGATTGTGAAAGGTACATTTCTCATCCCCCTTTCAAGCACTCAGTAAAAGACATCGAAATAATTTGTAACTCATTGGCATTCAAAACATCATCAGCACAATAAGAAATCTTTCTTTAAATAATTCAACTGTTTGCCTTGAAGCCCTCCTCTTGCTGCTCTGTCCATTTTCTATTGGCAAGAGCCACAGCTAGCGAGGCCCTTGCGCAGGCCAGGGGGAGAGGAAGACCCTTCTCCTGGGTCACACCCTCATGGCGTCTGGGCTTTGTGCCTCCTCTGGTGGCGGGTTCTGAGCTGCTGGGGGAGCTCCTTGTTGTGGCGTTGCCTTCGTCTCTTTGTTTGTAACTCGGATGGTCTTGGGAAATCGCCTCGGCTTGGCTGCCTGGTGCTTCCTAGATTTCAAAGGTGAATGAGAATCGGAAGAGGTCAGCCACAAACACTAAACGGTCCAATCTCAGAAGAGGTCTAATTTTGGTTACTTTTCACCAAATCAAGATTATTGTTTTAAGAATACATCTTACAGGCTAATGTTGTTCTCCAAAAGAAATGCATTTTAATGCATCTGTGTACACTGTAAATCATACTATCATATGGCTCGTACATTTTAATAACACTTCACCTCCTTGCTTTCATGTAACATTATGCATGGCATGGGATTAAGGACACTTTCATTCATGAGAAATTATTTTAATAATCCTTTGAAAGGCATTCAAGACTCAGTGAGTTACGCAACCTGTCTTTTTGACTCATTGGAGCTGTTTGCTTGCCCATGTGCACTGAGAGATGCATAGGAAATGATTAATCAAATCCGAGCTAGAAAGAAACTGTATCAGCGACAGCAGCACCACCCAAGATGTCTGTCTTACTACAAACTGTCTTTTAAACAACTGACAATATCGCTAATGCCTAGGTTGGATGGAACTATTGGATGAAAAAAAGGGTATTTTGGCTATACTGTCAGGAAGAATGGACAATTGACAAAAGATTGTGACCAACTAATATTATATCCAAAGAACCTGCCAATATTACAAAATAACTCTAAATGGTGTGAGACTGACATAAATACACTGTATCTATTCTGTATGTACTGTATACTGTTTCTGAAAGAAATAATCAAACATTGTTCAGCATTTAACAAAATGTTTTGCTCACTCAACATCAGTGGGGGAAATGCTGGGTTGTACAGTAGCTTGACTGAACAGTGCTAACGTGTGAACAAACAACAGAGGTGACAGAGAGGAAGCAGACAAGATTACAGACATACAGTACACAAAAAACAACATCCCTCATACATGCAGCATAAAAACAGATTACACTATTTTTAAAAAACAGGATCAGCTGTCCAGTTTATATATTTGATGTTACTTTACCTGTTAATATTAATATTATAAAAAAGGATAATTAATTATTAGGAAAGGGTGAAAAGGGAGAAGGAGGTGAGGAGATACAGTATGTCCATGAATATAAACCTCTCCTTTTTAATGGTGGAGAATGAGACATAGGAAAGCCCTTAGAATTCAGAAGCTTTATGTACACAGGCTAAGAAGCTGGAAAGACCCTGCTTAGTCTTCATAGGCAGGAACCTGTGTCCAGATGGTAAAATAGCATACAGACTATAGACGGGGTGAGTAGGATCCACAACAATATAATTGTCCTTTTATACTGCATGTTCTCAGATAATATATCTTTAAGATTATGCTGTCTAATGCCCAATATTTTACTAATCTAGAGATACCACTTTCCCCAGGTGAATGAACAAAATCAAAATGCTTCAGAGCAACCCAGATGTAATTCCATTCCCAGCAATCAAATGTCTTTTTTGTGTCTGAAGAGTATTATGCACAAGGCACTGACTGATGTACTGTAGGTTCTATGATATGGAGTATGAAGCAAATTAAACATTAAAAAAATAACCTTTTTGGTTGTTGTGTATTAGATGTGTATCTCTGTTTGCTTGGGAAAAAAACATTTTCAAAGAATTTAATAGAAATATTTAACAAAGATGATGGGCTATAGCTCAAGCATTTTAACAGATCTTTATCGGTTTTGAGAAGAAGAAGGCTGATTTCTGTGAAAGAACTAGTGTCTAAAAAAAATAATTAAAAGCAGTATTAAAAGGCATACAATGTTTCATGAGAGAGAACTGAAAAAAAAAGCTGAGCCAGACTTGAAAATTGACCTTAAGCTGATAAAGATCAGGCAGTGCTAAGGAAAGAGATAGGAGCCCAACCTTCCCGCAGTTCAAACAAATGCCAAAGGTAAGGCAGGGAGAAGAGCTTACTGGTTTCACAGTGTGGGCCCTCCCAGCCTCGACATTCACAGCGATAGCTTCCATTCCGCAGAATACAGATTCCATCATTCATGCAAAGGTTAGGCTTACATAAGTTCACAGGCCTCTTGGCATCTGGGAAAAAGAAGTGTAAAACAGAGCAATGCTGGAAATATCAGCCTTTTACTCCCAACCAAAATAATGTAACCCTATTATATTTAAATAATGTTATAATATACCCTCACCAAAATATCTTTATAAACTATATTATATCATTATACTGTATCTATATAATACCATTTACATCTATATAAACTCCTATATCTATAAAATTAAATAAAGGTCACAGCACAGTGTAACAAAATTATACAATACAATAATACACAATACAATACAGTAAGTACAGTCAGTGACTGTACTTACTGTATACAGAACATACAGAGTATACAGAATAGCTCACAATACAGAAGATACAAAACAAACCAGAATGTACAGTACACAAAAGATGTATTGCACATTATAAATATATTGCACAAATCCCTAGATATCAGTTGTAAACAGGAGAATCAGCTGTAAACTGAGAAATTCATGTTTAGTCCAATAACATTCAATACTGCCCCTGCCCAGACACACAGTGGATGTGTTGTAGTCTTATGGCAGAAGGCAAAAATGACCTCCTGTAGCGCTCCCTGTCGCACTGTGGTTGTATCAGCCTATTGCTGAACATGTTCTTCATTCTCACAAGCATGTCATAGAGGGGATGGGAGACGTTGTCCATGATGGCCATTAATTTGGACACCATTCTCCTCTCAGCCACTATCTCCAAGGGATCCAGATCAGACCCAATGACAGAACTTGTTCAGCCTGTTAGGATCATTAATGCAATGATCATTATGATTATTAATGGAATGATTAATAATGTCATACTTTTTTACTCTGACAGGACACTCCAAGGAAAAAAATTGTGTAGTCCAAGTTAAAATTGTAAAAATAGTTCCTATTCCTATGTTTTTCAAGTGTATTTGTGCTGTGGTATAAAGTAGAATTACTATATGATTTCCTGTTAAAAGAAAATGGACAGAAATAATTCCATCTGTGACTTTTTAAGAAATCAATTGGGACACAGGTAATAGGTAGGTGTACAGTAGGTAAATCATTCACTCCATTTTAGTCTAAAGGAAAATACGTTTTCCTTTAAGTTTAATACAAATTTTTCCTAAGCTTAATACAATTGAAGACAAAATGCATACTGAAAATGAAACCCCGCCTATTTTACATTTTAATTTTATTATCATTTAAAAATTGTTTTTCTGTAAATCTGTGTGAGCTGCCTGCAGCGAGGTGAGGCTGATTACGCTGCTGTTGGTTTATGGCCAGGACTCACCTTCACAGACTTTCTGCACCAGGAGGTCTTCGTAATACTTCAGGTCTTCATACGATGGCACAGAAAACATGTGCTGTTCCGAGCCTGCAATCTTCAGCAGAGTGTCTCTCTGGGCATCCCCTATTCCAATCACAAACAGAGCCACGCCGTTGTCCCTAATTTGCTGGGCTGGAACCATGGCGTCTTCGCCTCCAGCCCCATCAGTGATGACCACTACTGCCTTATTAACACCAGGTCTGGCCCCCTTCTGGACAGTTATCACATCCTCATGGATATGGAGCAGAGCACTGCCTGTAGAGGAGCTGCCTCCAATGTACGGCACCAGGTTGATACCCTGAAGTATGCCAGAGCCCGAATCATAGGTGTCAAGATTGAAGACTGTACGCGGCCTCCTGCCAAAGGCAACCAGTCCAATCTGAGTCACATCACGGTTGATGTCAAACTGCACCGAGGTGCTCTTGACGAAATCCCTCAGACGAACAAAGTTATCCTTCCCAACCCCAGATGAGGCATCGAGGGCAAACACTAAGTCCAGAGACTGACCCAGACACCCTAGGATGAAATTCAACAGGGAAAAAGATCAGTGTGCATAAAGCAGGACGCAATGATTGTAAATATTCCACATGACGTTGCAATACAGTTTTTCCCCATACTGTATAAACTGTTGGGTTAGGAAGTTTTTTTGTCTAATTATCTGAAGCCATAAGAAATACCCATAAGTTTCCACCCACAAAAATCAATCAATGGAAAAAACAATCCTCTGATTCTAAATATAACTTTTTACATCACTACAGCTTTGCTTTTATTGTATCATAAAATCAACATTATTTTAAAAGTAACACCATTGTAGATATCTCAAGACTGAAAACAGATGTCACAATGAATTTTACCTTGACTATCTACACTGCAGATCTTTGACCTGAGCTCGGGGATCTTGTTGAAGAGACTTTGTGGAGAAGAATAGGTTATAGTTCGCTGGGGGTTTCCTGTAATGTCATTAAGCTCTGCCTTCAGAGAGTCTCGCCCCACAGCAAGGAGAAACAGCTCCCGGTCTCGAGCGTATTTGGCTGGCTCGCTCACTAGATCCACAGACTTGGTGTCAGTGAGAAGAATCACAACTCTCGGGAGATCGTCCTGGACATCGGCGAATACCGGCGTGCTCTTGAAGCCATGCTGTGTGATGAAGCGCAGGGCTTTCCCTGTCCTGGTCTCACCTCCCCGGTAACTCATACCGTCGATGACTCGGAGGAGCTCAGAGATGTCACCATACTCCCCGATCTTCATTTCTATCTTGACATCACTGCTGTACTGGGCCAACCCTACATTTACTGGCGTGTCTGAGGCTAGCACAGCCTGTAAAAACCGCTTCAGGAAGGACTTGTAGCGGAGGAACCCCTCCAGGTTAATGTTGGAGGAGCCTTCAATAAGGAAGAAAAGATCCACACTGCAGTCTAGAGTTAGCTTTGGAGCTGCAAGGACAAGCATGGTAAACTTTAAGGTGAAATCAACATAAAAATGAAATTAACAATTAACACTTTCAGTCCGAAACAGTGTCAGGTGCAGTTGTAACACTTGAGTTATAATTGCATTTGCCTAATGCACATTACAAAGTCTCTGCTGTTTTCAACAGGATGCCAAATGTACATAAGAACATGTGATACAATTTATAGCATTGTGCCTATCTTGCTCATTTGCGAATAGTTCATCGAGCCAAGAATTTGATCCATCTCGTTAAGAATTCATGATAACCACCCTCAAAAACATGGTAAGGTAACCTGTACCAGACACCCATAACTCTGACTAAATGGTGCTGTCTTTTCTTAGTCTGAAATTTAATTTGGGCGTTTTCACGTTCAGCTCAATATTTTTTTTTAACTTTTTTTTTCCCACTGCCTGCTTCCCTTCTAATTTCCATTAGAGAGATTTGATTCCTTTAATCTATTTATGTAAAATGATTATCCTACACTACTACCTCATTAAATATTTAAGGTATCTTACAATGATGCACTATCTTAACTACCCAACTACTCAGCCTTAAACTGCAAGACCAAATTATTTTTATCAGACATGCCCCCATTTAAACATAATTAGAAGGCAAAAGTAAACATTTTACTGAAGGCTTCAATTAAAAAAAAAAATTCAAATTGAATACAATAAAATAGAGACCCATTCTTCTTAAAAAGAAAATGGGACCACCATAGTAACAAAGAAATTCTATTACCTGTATAATTTGCAGTATATTGCAGTTTGTTCAACAGTATTGAAATCAGCAATTAGGAATTACTCTAGATCACACCCTAAATTACTTAAATCCACAAAACATAGTTTGGTAGAAGCAGACATAAATATTTGTATAACTCCTTATGGTGTAACCTGCTCTGCTTGTGAGGAAGGGATAAGAGAAAACAGATCTTAACATACAAATCATGAGGCCATCTAGAATGTGTTTCAATATTTGTGGAAGCAGAAAGCACAGTGAGTACAGTTCTTTTCAGCATGCCACTTTAAGCCCTTTGTTGCTCAAAGCAGATACATAAGTGGCACCTGTGTTGTGTGAGGTATAAGTGAAACACTAGCTTCATTTAATTGGGTTTTACTCAGTCTAATAATCATATTTCTTAAAAATATAATGTTATATAAACATATTAAATGCATAGCCTAGCTCCTGCTTTAAAATGTATCATGACTGTACAGTTTTTTATTAAAGGGGATGGCGTGCCATGAATGGAGCCTGGATCCACTAGATTATGAATAATGAATCGATGAATTGGCTTCATTACTCTGCTCTCTTCCCCTCTGATAGCTGATTTGTGGTGAGCGTTCTGGCGCACTATGGCTGCCGTTTCATCATCCAGGTGGGGCTGCACATTGGTGGTGGTGGAGGGAATCTCCATTACCTGTAAAATGCTTTCAGTGGAGTGTGCAGAAAAGCGCTATATAAGTGTAAGCAATTATTATTATTATTATTATTATTATTATTATTATTAGATTAAAAGTTGTCGCATTAGGTCGCTATGTTTTTTTACAGCTATAGGCAACTACAGAAGTGTCGCTAAGGATTGACATACAATGGGTAACACCTGGCTAGTGACATCATTATCAACTGAAAAGCAAAGGGGTGTTTGGCCGAGATGTAGGGCATCCAAATTCAGTCAAAGTAATCATAAAGTTTACCTTGATTTACCTTAATTAAGTTCTGGGTAAATGATTAAGTATCAATCAACAGTCCAGAAAGACAACAAATAAGATGATGGTGAAGTAGAGAGAAGACAGACAAGACCACAAGAGAGAGGGCAAGAGCTCCTTGTTCCAGATCACCCGGGAAGACCAGATTGGTATTTGAACCCTGTTAAGAGAGCTTAGTATTCTGTAGTTTTTAGGGAACTCAGATTGCCTGTGTAAAAGAATCCCTCTTTACAGCCTCTCCTGGTGAGTGCATTTTTAGAATAGGGAGATAGGTTCTCATTCATTTGGTGGCATCCAGGTTTACAAAGAGTCTTTTAACAGCAGGTTGTATTCTGTTTTGTTAGAAAGCATCTTATCGCTTATGTTGGCCTTTGTAGGCATTATGTACAGTAAGTGTTTGAATACTTCTGGGTTTGTTCTGGGTGAATGAGATGTTAGACCTCGGGAGCACAATGGAGGTTGTAAATAGTGTTAATGATGTGTTGTATGTTTATGTGGTGTGTTATTAGAGGCGGCTCCTACTTAGAGTAATTGCTGATTTAATACTTTAGAAAAACACAAAAAAGAAAAATAAGTTCTAAGACACCAAAAACAAAAGTTACCAAGTCTGTCAGTGACTGAAAACCACCAAAGGACAATACAATGTTTTATTAAACCAAAGTTTTGATGTTATTAGACAACTTTCATCAGCGTAATGGTGCAGCTACTGCAAATGACAAGGGTTGGTAGTAGAGTTGAAAACAACATTAAATAGTCTCATACATTAAAATTGAAGTTAATAATATTTATGTTGAGTTTATATCCTTACAAATTTTATTTTTTTAACACTGTATGATTTTCAAGATCTACAGTTATTGCTCCACTCATTGAGTGGAAGTGTGGTATATTCTTTAATTCCTTCCAGATGCTGATTATTTTAAAATGTAATAGGCTTACACTGTTAATGTAAACCAAATGTGCTGTGCTAAATTTTTGAAACCCTGCTACAAATAACCTTATTTCATGACAGAAGTGAATGTGATTAAAACTAAAGTTAATTCAGTATTCTTACTCCATAGGATTGATTAAATAAAACTTTACATACTAAATACTTAAAGAATCCACCAGATACAATGCAAGGAAACAATAATACTGGCCAAATTCTTACCACAGTTAGAGTCTCCTCCAAACCCCACAGGACAGAGACAGTGGTATCTCTCTAATCCCTCTGAGACACAGGTGCCTCCGTTCTGACAGGGCTGAGAGTCACAGGGGTCTGACGGAGAGGAGACAGATGGGAACAGCGCACATCCAGACTGTTAATCTGCCATTTAGAACAGCAGTATTAAGCACTTCTACCATAAATGCTTAATACTGCTAAAACATCCTGTAAGATCCTTTGTGGATTAAGTATTTTTATCCCAGGACTTAATTATTAGATTCCCACAATTATAGAAAGACATTTAATTGGTTATTAAGTCTTGAAAGAAATGGGACTAAAGCCTTAATTAATAAACTGCTCCATTGCCTTTGGAACACCATTACAGTAGATTTTAAGAAAGCTAAAGCTTGATAAATTGATTATTTTAAGTTAAAATTTAAGCAGTTTTTCTTTTTTTATTCAAGCTTTGACTGCTCTTCTTTATTTTTTAATTGTTTCATGCTCATGTACATTTTCATTACATTCACTGGAATGAATAATGCTACAAAAATAAACTCTGATTATATTGTATAACATTTTTTAACTCTTTTAAAGCTGAGGAAAAGATAACTAGAGTGGAGAAGGTAAGAATATTTTAGCTGACCATGCAAGCCTTTAGAAATCACAATGTCTCAGACAGGAGACATTTACTTCCAGCTGCCCCTCCCTACATCTTTATAGCTGAGTGCCCCCCCGTGTGCATGTGGGCTGGTGAAACTAAAATACTAGGAGTAACAATTCAACCCTCACCCATTTGCCACTCAGCACAGGATGGCCTGACACAGACAAGATTAATGGATTGTGATTCTGCACTTATTTGGAGGAAGAATAAACAGTCTAAATGTGTTGGCATGCTGTGAAGAATATTCTATTTGGAAGCGCTGAGCTGGCCTTTCACTGGGTCGTGCACCATAAGACCACATTAGCAGGGAAAGAAAGGGACTCTTCTTACAAGGGAGCTTGGCACTGCAATGACAGCTAGGAGGAGAATGAAATTCTAATCTTTCAAAGGAAATTTGATTAAAATCAAAGGTTAAGATTACTGAAACACTTCAAATAGTGGGAAATGAAGGTGAATTATATTGATACCTCTTCACTGGAAAATGTGTTTCTCTTTCACCAGAAGATGGTATTATGATATTTGTACCAATTATATGTAAACATATGGTTAAACATTTAAAGATGTATTGAAATTCCTTTTTTGCAATACCTAAATAGTACTATTCCAAAGAACTTAAAGTGCTGTTTTGGAAGACTGAAAGAAATACACTGCCATTTACAGAAAGGGATTGAATTTTTCACAACACCAGATCGAACGTTGTCTTCAAGTATATGTAGTAGTGCATACTTTAAAAGAAGGACCTGCACTTTCTCAAGATACTTAGAAGGTAGATTAGTTTGAAGTTCACAAAAATTCACATTACCTGGACAAATAGTTCTGTAACATGTTGCTTGGTGCTTCTTGTACACTCTGTTCCATCTGTGAAAATTACAACTTCTAAGATTACATACTGTAATTAAATCTACCGCTTCAATTATAACAGATTTTTAGCTCTACATTATTCATCACTTTGCTAGCACTGGAAACATAAAAGAGCAGTATGAGAAACAGTGAAACATCTTTAAATTGTGTTTAATTAAATCAACAATAAATAGCATTAAACATTACTAACACTATTCTAGAAGCTTCAAATGCTCTCATACAGTATACTGGGTTCTTACCAAACCTTACCACAACATATCTCAAACATTTTTTTTTCTTCATGCTGCAGCAACATAATTAAAGAAGTAGTGCAAGAAAATTTAAATTTTAAGCCTGATTTTTCACATGAGTTTATTTCTTTCATTTGAATTTCAATCTGATGGGTGTCTTATAAAGACCTTTTGGACCTCCAGTACAGTGTGAGATGCAACAGCTGATATTGTAAAGAGCAATTACGTGCAAAACATCACAAATAAAAATAAAATGTCTACATACGCAGCAGATGTACTTATTCTGAGGTGGTGTACTGTATTTCAGCAGTACCCATATCTCAAGCAGCACGGTTAACAATTTCATAAATCCCCTGTCGTGATCAGTTACTGCCTGCAACCTTCTTCCAATACAACCTCCCTCTTAGTCCATTAATTCCACTAGGTGAGGCTGATCACATTTCAAATGCCGGGTTAAAAATGTGTGAGCTAACACTTCATGTAAATGTATTTTGAAACTTTACAGCAAACAAAGGAGAACTACTTGCCTGTAATAGGGGCACATCGAAGTGGAGGGTGAGTACCCTTTGGACCCTTTCCAGCACATGAAATTCCCCTGGAACTCCTTCACGGTCTCCAGGGTTTTGCGCTCACAAAGCTGAGACTCAATCTTGCATCCTAAGGAACATGTGCCAAATTTGTGAACTTGAATGCATTTCAACCCCAGCCTTCACGCTGGCCACTTCAACACTTGAGATAAGTATAAAAGCAGGACATGAAGACAACCTTGTTTTGCACAAGAACAACCTTAACTTTGTTTCTACTTGCAGTTCAGTTCAATTTGTTCTGCGCTTGTTACAGGAGCATCGTTTATGCTTGCAATACATTCAAAAGCACAAAATCTATAAAAAATGTATCTGGATGCTAAAGATGAAAGAATGAAATGAGTGGGCTGTTTCCACTGTACATCCCCATGCTGCAATACACAGTACATAAATTAAATAAATAATTCTCGCATTAGAGCCAAAATACTAGATTGATCTAAAGAAATGTATAATAAAGCATATAGGAAGAAATTAGTGATATTTCTGCTGTCTAAGCATTCCTAGAGTAGCATGCTAACTCCTTGTATAAATGTAACAAACATTTGTCCGGTGCAGTGAAGTTTGGCTTGTATCTACCACATCTTTAATTGCTTGTAATTAGATACGGCCCCTTTGGAAAATGAATGACTCATTAAAGCCCAATCAGCAATGACCAGGGTTGTTGGATTCAACTTAATGCAGAACCTCTGGCTTTAATTCTCCCCAGACCCCTGCTTTCTTCATGGGTCTAATTAAGTGCTTAAAATGAAACAGTTACCAAAAGATGCAATTAATGCAAAAGATCTAGAACTACTGTATTTTAGTTTTTTTAGTCATCAAGTTTAAAAGAGCTTAAAAAGCTTGCATCTAACATTGCATTAATCCTCTTGAATACCATGTTGTTTATTGTTAAAATTTGGAAATACTGTGCGTGTGATTCTATTCTTGTACCCACTCAATGTGAAATTGCCAATTGCCAATTTGGCTTATTACAATCAACCTAACATAACATCACTTTATTACCCTATTCAATTTCTTGCATTAGGAATTAGTCTTTTCGCATAAAATGAAACATTTACCCGCAAAAGATCTAGAACTACTGTATTTTAGTTTTTTTAGTCATCAAGTTTAAAAGAGCTTAAAAAAACTCTTTTAAACTTTAAAAAAAAGAGCTTAAAAACCCCAGCTTGCTCTCCATGAGACACAGACATACAGACAGGGAGAAACCTGGGGTCAGAGCCCAGGGTCTGCCATTGTACACCGTCCCTGGAGCAGTTTGGGTTAAGGACCTTGCTCAGAGGCCCAACAGAGTAGGATTCCTGTGCCGGTTGCGGGATTTGAACCAGCAACCTTCCAGCTACAGGCGCAGATCCTTAGCCACAGAGCCACCGCTCTGCCCGGTACCACATGGAGAGAATTAAAAGTATATGCACACAGAGATGACCCACCCATTTGTCAGAGCCATTCATCATTTGACACACTACAAGCTCCAGAGAACCTTACAGGAAATCCACTAATGATTGAACAAAAAAAAATAATTAAATAGCTCTTTTCATCATTTTCCTGCTTCATCCATCACAGAAGTGTAGCAATCACCTGGGTGACATGATTTTTAAAACTGTCCCACAATACATACTGTACATAGTTTGGTGTGTTGTGGCCTAAAAGAAGAAGAATGAATCACGCAGAATGGCATATACCTGATGGCACCGCAGTGCAGACAGAGGCAGAAGTCAAGGTTGTGTAGAGACCGTTGACTGCATCATCAAAGTGCTCAGCAAACAGAACATGCTGCTCTGAGGGCACACTGGCCAGGATGTGAAGCTCCTCCCACCTAAGATGACAAGAGAAGCCCAGTGAATATTGCCCGGGACAGCACTGAGCTTGCCAGGAAAAACCCTCCATATTCTAAGAAAAACTACAATTATATTTGAATTAAACTACAGGAAGCAGAACAAAATATGTGAGCAGATGTTGCTTATCCATTAAATACACTTGTGATTCATCTGAGATGAACCGATACAGCATATCTACATAACCATCAACATGCTTTAAACACTTCTGTGATAAAAGAGTAGCTTCCTCAGTTGTCCTCCTTCAACTGTACACTTCATTGTAAAATGAAAATTTATTTACAAAGAAAATATTTTTAATCAACATGGCATATTTTAATTAATGCTGAACTGTATGTTTTTGGAAAAGAACATTTGAAGTGTGTATTTAAAAATATAGCAGGACAGAGAAACACATGGGTCTCACCCAGAGCAGCTTCTGCAAAACTGTGGCATGGTAAATCCTAATCCCCAAGTAAACCTGAAGTATATCTAGAAATTCTGAACTTCACAAAACATAGCCACTTTTATATTTAATAAATACTTCTTGTTTTTTACAATGTATTGTTCATTGTATATTATATCCATGGGAAATTAAAAGGTTCAATTCTGCTGCTTCATAGACTCCAAACATTAAACTAGGATAAGCCTATAGGAAATATAATGATATTAAGCTCTATGTTTCAATATTTAACCTCAGACTATAAATTTTGAACCCAAATGAACACATAAGATTATATTTTATGAAAACATCCTGACACTGACCCTCACCAATGGTCCTGGAGAGCTGCAGACTACTCTGATACAGTATTTAGACCTAAATATTCTGAGCATTTATGGTGTCAGTTTGCTCACCTCTACACTTTTTTAAATATACTGCTTGCAGATTTCAGGTAATAGACAGTGGTGGTGACAACTCTGAAACAAGAGTAACACAGGACCCAAAAGAATGTGGTCTGCCAAAGCTTGGTATATTAATCAAGTGTAAATAGTAATTTTTTGCCATAGTGGTTTATATTGTATTGGAAGTTTGTAATAAAGATGGGTGCCCAGTGTAACAATGGTGGTGAACATAAAAAGACAATAACTGCTGGAACGATTTAAAACCAAACGTAGCTGTTATTTCTTCAGTGAAGAAAATGTAATGATAAAAGGAGGCAGAAATGGCCTCCTTTATCTCTAATATTCCTACCTGGGATATCGTATCCCCACAGCAAATATCGTGATGCCATTTTTCTTCAGCTGGTCAGCAGGAAGCTGCACGGCACCCTGGGACTTGCCGTCAGTCAGGATGATGAGAACGTGGGGAATGGTTGTGTTCCTGCCTCCAGGGAAACCTTTCCGGATAACATACTTTAAAGCCAGGCCTGTCTGTGTACTGCCACCCCTAGTGGGAATTAGACAACAGATACAGTGATTTGACATACTCTTTGATTGCGAGCAAAAAGCCCCCCCCCAAAAAAAAAACAACTAAAAGCACAAGTATCAAACACTAAATAAGCAAAACATTACAATGGCATTAAAAAGGTGTGGTTTTACTTTTTTCTATAATAACCATTATAACAGAAAATAACATGAAGGACACAGACAATAAATCAATGTATTGTTGCAATACTCACACAATCATTTAAACTTATAAACATTTGTCCTGTTTTCTCTCACCAAAAGTACAGTGGTACTGCATAATAAAATGAGAATGCTTCCAATGAGGAAGAGGTCATTAATCTCATATACTGTAGCTGTAGGTCTTAGTAAAGATCCCTGGGGTATACTTCTAATTGCATCACACCAATTAAGCACTGGCACTTGTCTTTTCTGAACCCTGTGTTTCCTATACATTAAGTAATCTGTAATCAGATAACACATATATTACCTAGAATGCCTACCACCTGCAATTTGAGACTAATCTTTTACAAGGAACTTTATCATAAGCCCTTTGAAAATTTAAATCTACAATTTAGATACTGTATGCTCTGCTATTTCTTGTTCAAAGAATATCAATAAGCTTTTGATTGTACCAAAGTTCTTATTTAGGTAACTGCATTATTCTGTTTTGCCAGAACGACAGCAAATAATTAGTAAATGATGCTCACAAAACTTGCATGCCCATTTCCCAGAGCAGACTTAAAGGGCACTGCAATATAATATCAGCTATAGTATCCTCATCTGTCATAGTTTCTTTCAAAATGAAATATATCAAACTTTAAAATAAAGTATTACGTAAAGTAACAATCTCTCTGGAAGCATCTTTCTTTAAAAATAATTGAAATCACTAATTGTTATTCAGAGTGCACCACAGATACAGGAGTAAGATTACTATAGTAGGAGCCATAGTGTATAGAGCAGTGGTTCTCAAACTGTGGTACACGTACCGGCAGTGATGCGTGGCGTGCCGCCAGGTGGTACGCAAAATGACCCGGGAACTGTGTTGTGTGCGCTGAAAAAATCGGGACGGGTTTTCATATTTTGTATTTTTATACGTGCCGAATACGCAGCTTACGTACTACAATACAGTGCGCATAATACTTCAGTGGACACAAGAGATACTCTGTAATTCTATACCACGCTGTAGGAATGCGTGCTACGGACGCAAGTGACCAATTGTATTTAAAAAAAGCTACTGTATCTCCAGCAAATAGGGAGAAAGGAGAATGTGCGTGATTTTGGAACAATGCCAACATTGTAAACACAGGAATGCATAAAAATGCGTGCTACGAACGCTGGTAATCTTGTGAGCACAGGAAAGCGTGAAAAATAACAGAAAAATATTTAAGAACTGTTCTAAGTTAATTTGAGAAAAATACACCGAGTGTCTCTGTGTTTCTCTTCCATGCGCATGAAATAATTACTGAAAATAAACACTGAAATAAAAACGGAAATGTGGAAAAATGCAAGCTTGCGGATTGCTAAAGCAGGTAAGCCCCACACTATTATGTGTGGAGAAAAATCTGCTGAACAGCTCAACCTGCTGCCCCCCCTGAAAGACACAGTCGTTCATAGAATTATTGAAATGAATGATTATATCAAAAGTACGCTGACAGAGCGCGTTAAGATGAGCAGATGTTTTTCACTGCAATTAGATGAGTCTGTAGTCGATTTGGCCAATTTGCTCGTTTACGTTAGATACGAGTTTGAGGTTACATCCCGTGAGGAATTTTTGTTCTGTAAGCCGCTACCAACAGGAACTACAGGAGAGCACGTATTTCAGCTTCTGAATGAATTTATTGAAGAGAATGGCATCGACTGGATAAAATATGTCGGAGTTTGTACAGACGGTGCTAGAGCAATGACAAGCCAACACAGCGGTGTAGTTGCACGAATTAGAGAGGTGGCTCCAGAAATTAATGGTTTTCATTGCAACATCCACCGCGAGACCTTTGCCGTCAAGACAATGCCTGACGATTTAAAATCTGTTAAGACTGTTGTGAATTGTATGAAGGCTCGAAAATTAATTCACATCTGCTTTGCTTGACTAAACAGGCTCACCCTTCTCACTGAAATGGTGCTTTTTTATTTTTATTTGTCGTTGTTTTTTTTCTATAAAACACTTTAAGAAGCCACCTTTAAAGGCACTATATCAAATAAAGTTTATTATTATAATATTTATTATATGTATGTGTGAGTGTGTGTGCACGTGCGCTCATGTTGGTCATTGAGAATTTCTGGGGTTCCTATGAGATGATGACTTGTAGGTGGTACTTGGATGCTTTGGTTGGATTAGGGGTGGTACTTGGTCCAAAAAGTTTGAGAACCACTGGTATAGAGGAATGCATCCATTAACACAACAAGTTCAACAATCCCTCACAGGAGAGTTAGAAGTCAGTTAGGCTGAGCCATTGCCAATAATGCCAGTAAAGCCTATCACTTCTCCTATCACTTCTCATTCTCCTCAACCCACAACTGTTGCTGTTATACAGTATAAACACTGCTATACCATGGCAAATTAAAGCCCATTCATCCTAGGCTACACGTGCTCACTTTTGCACCTCCACTTGGGAAATCCCACTCAGTGTGTCCGCTATAGTGTATGCCTGATACTGTGCTCCCAGATCTCATCTACATTCTTGAAGAGCTGCACATTAATCAAAGATAACATGTGAAATGAGCAGATATCTAAGATTCACTTTATTATGTGTGTATGCTGCAACATTTTTTGCCAAAATGGCTGCCCTATTTAATTTTAAAAAACAATCTTAAATGTCTGGTTATTAAATCCAGGTTATTTTAATAAATATTCCTAGCAACAGGCTTCAGAACAAAATCATAGCTGGGAATTGAGAGAAAAATACAAGCACAAGCCTACTTTCCCTCAACCAGTCACCACAACTACACAGTTCTCCAGAGATGCTTTATAGTCTCCAATCTCTTCATAATTTGGTTTTAATACAGCCAAGCTCAGCTAATGTAAGTGCTTTTTGGATGATTGAACTTTTACTTTTTTGTTTGGATTTACATTTGTAAAAAAGATTTCTTTTTTTCCCCACAATCAATACTAGTTTAAGGATATTGTTCTGCAACTTAAAATTTCAGTGTTTTTTACATATAATTTAAAACAATTTACATAACTCTTGGCCTGATACTAGTGCCAACTGCCAATTGAGTTTGTTGTTAAAACAACTTCTGAAAATTTAGCTCTAACATATATTTCATTGTTTTCAACTTTCAAACCCCTGTATACAAGTGTATAAACTAAGCACTTTACACAAATACACTATATTTTGCACTAAACATTGTAATTCCATTCCAAGAATTGCTGTTATGGACAATTCTGTAGCCCACAAGGGATACAATAACCTCCAAGTTCCTGCGAAAGGTTCCTTAACTGTCTGAGCTATGCAATGCAATTCACTCCAACAGTTGTTCTAAGCCACATCGACAAGTGTTGATGGTTTTACAGTGCAATTCGAAATGGTCATTTCATACTAAAAATAAAATAAATGGTGCAGAGTTCCAAATAATATGCCTTGACAGCTGGAAATAGTTCAGAGGGTATTTATTGCCCTACAATGCTGTAGTTCAATACTCTTTTTCATGCTTGAATTACAGAGAACATTTGTTCCTCTGTCTCACGACCTCCTAGGCACACTGACTGCTAAATTTTAAATTCCTCAGATTTGCATTTGTATTTATTACAACACAGTTACACATAATTTTATTTTCTTGACTATTTTCTATTCTTTCCAAATTACATTTTTGGAACCACTAATGTGGTCCTCTCTCTCTCACTGGAAATCGTGCTAATATTATTAATTACTGTAATATTATAACTTCTGTTTACATACTTGAAGGAGAGTTTCTTCAGACGCTGCTTCAGCTCATCTCTGGTTGGACAGGAATCCAAAGAGAATTCCAGTCTAGGTGTGGAGCTATACTGTATAACCCCAACTCGCACCTGAGAGATGGAATCAAGAAAATTGCAGATTAACCTCTTTAATGAAGAAATTATGAGGATATAATTTTACCCTTTTCTCTGGCACTGTACTGAATGCAATAATAGACATTGTGGGAAATTCAGGGATCATATTAACATTTTTAATAGGTGACCCTAATGTACCTTATAATGTAAAAGCAGATATACTGTATACAGTAGTAAACAGGTGACACGGTGAGTTTGTATGTTCTCCCTTTGTTTGTGTGGGTGTCCTCCCTCAGTCCAAAGACACACAGCATTAGAAGGTTAGCTGTTTTTCTGGTCTAAATTGGCCCTGATATGAGAGTAGTGTGTGTGTGTGCCCTGTGATGGAGTGGCAGTACAGAGTCACCTGCGACCCTGTACATGATTCAGTGGGTAGAAAATTAATGAATTGATATATTCTACATACAGCATACATATTGTATAGGGTAAATACCTGAATGTATTAATGAAGGAAGACTTTTTAGCAGAACAAGATTCAACTTAATCTTACTTAGTTTTCATGACTACATGGACCATCTTTATGTGTATAAACACATTTTTAACTCATATAGTGTGGAACACTACTCATAAGAATAATACCAACAATAAAAAATTGTGTTTTATTTTTTTTTTAATTCACTCAATATCTACATTCTCTTACTCTTTCAGGGCTGATGTCCAGTGCATCAGTCAACTTCAGTGCAAAGTGTTTGGACCTCTCAAATCCTCCTTTGCCAACACTGTAGGAACCATCCAACAGGAACAGTACATCCACAGCAGCTGAGCACTGCATTACTGCAAAGATTAAGACAGACGTCAGTATTCTTCAGCACACAGCAGGTATCCCCTCTTTTGTTTCACAGAAACTTTAGAATAAAAAAGAATGAAAATAAAAAAGAAACATAAATAACTAAATAAATGTTTAGGATTTTATTTGTACTTTGTGATCAACAGAAACACAGACTCTTTAAAAACTCTCAGTGACACCTACAGTATGTCAAAAAGATCGAGGTACAACATTACTGAAATTACTGGTTTGATGCATCAATTTACTTTCTTACTCAGAGTATTGAAACTATTATTTGTTTTCAAATTATACATTACGCTAAAAACACTAAACTTAAAATCAGCAGAAACTGAGCTTCTTTTATGTAAAACCTGTAATTTAACAAATAACACGTAAAATATATCATGGGGAAAGTACTTTTCCCAAGGCTATATGTTTAAACATTTTACAAGATTCAAGAAATGGGTAAAAAGCTCTGACCACCCAAAGCAAATAGGGGTGGTATAATTTATTTATTCAGGTCTGTTATCAAGCATACCTACTGGTACCTAAAGCAAAAAACACTCCATTTATAAGCTCAAGAGCCCTGTTATTAAAACTGTTAAGGTTTAACAACCCTCAGATTGCTTTAATGGTCTCTAGTAATATAAAAGCATCCCCAAATGCTAGTTAAACAAACAAAAACAAATCATAGGCTAAGAAAACAAAAATCGAGGTTATTAATATAAAAAATGAGCTTCTTAATGTATATCATGATAAAAATTGTATAGTTGCCATACTCTCCACAAAAAAATACATTTAACCAATTTCTTGATGAAGATGATAGGACAGATTTAAATGTGCTGAGAGCCCCAGTGAAAAAGTATTGCTTTACAATGTAGCACACATCTACAAAAACACCTTGGCACACATCTGACACTGGCATAACAGACACTACCATTTCCTGCAGGGAAATGTGTTCCCTACAGCTGAATCCCCTGGATAATCCTTTCAATCTTCCCACCTCCAACACCAGCATAAAAAAGCACACACTGAGTCAAAACAATGGCTCACACTGAAAGAAATCTGAGGACGGGTAGTATAGAGATGAGCTTTGTAAAGCCTTTTACTGTAGGTCAACCAGTATTCTATTAGAATGAAGTCAAGAATATTGACAATGCAGTCCTTCTGATCCATCACATTATATACAGAACTGGAAAACAATGCAGGTTTTTGAAAATTCTCCCACATGAACAAATACAGTGGAACAATCATATTCTTCCACATTCATAACACCTGTGCATCTACTCTGTTCTGTGCTTGGGGTAGTGAAATATACATTTATTTTCCTGTTCAGGCTGAATATTTTAACTAATTTACTTCAAACACACATTTGCCAAAACTAAAGAAAAACCTTTACCCTCCTACAAATACTCATTATGTAATGTGATTTAATCTACCTGACTGTTTGAGAGCACGTATTAACAAAACCACTGATATAGATGAACATCAGCTTATATTATTAACTCATGGTCATGAATATTGGGCTCATGGTTGCTATTGCCATTTGGCATGTTTCTGTTTGCAGAAAGTAATGAAAATAAATGCACAGTATGTGCCATGTAAAAAAAATCATTCAGATATTGTCAATATCTGTTAGTTTTATCATTGCCTGATCTTGCCCTTGTCTATAAAAAATACAAATACCAGGTGCAGTGAATCAGATGATTTTTAACGTGGTCATGAAACTGGAAAATTTGCAAGAGACATTTTAAGATTTCTGACGCATGCAAATCCAAAATACTAACAAACAAAGTCATTAACTTCTCAATTTTAAACATCTAGTTCTCAAAACCTATAGCTATCTATAAATTAGATGATATTTATGGGTTTAAATGAAAAAGAAAAGTTATTATGTAGACTATTTTGTTTCTTTTAAAATAGTATTTAAGCCTATCTTTGACTCCAACAAGAAACCTATGTCCAAAATGCATGAATCTGCAACAAAAAGACCACAGTTGTGGGTCTCTAGAATCGTTGTCTCACTGTTGCAGCTAACTGAAGTATACTTTAAGAAATGGATTGATGGAATTTTTGGATCATTAAGCAACTAAACAAGTAGGCAAACAGCAACCTTTCTTATTATTTTTGAAGCGATTCTCCATTTTGGTTAACTCTAAACAATTTAGAAATACAAGGTGCATATCAAATTATTTTTAAACATTTAATAATCTGTTATTTTTTGTCTTACTTTTGCAAAATGAGACAGAACATTATACAACTGAAAGATATCAATAGGATATTCACTACCTACAAAATTACTTACACTGACTTGCAGCATTGATTTTCACTAGCGTCTCCTGAGCAGCTTTGATCTCCTGTAGAAACACAGCAGGAGATACTGGGGAAGAAAAACAAGAGAAAAAAAATATTATTCAGTTTCTTAGGAAGAGATCTTTGGGTGTGTCTGCATCTGCAAAAATCAGATGAAGAGTAGGCTACTTCCACCAGTGATCCTGGATGACGGGATGGTTATTAACTATCCATGGATTTTATGTATTTTTATAAATATAATTACATTGTGACAGGTTGACAGCGATGGATATACACTGTAATGTCCTATTGCACTGGTGTAATTATACTGATATTTTAATGTTACCAATTCATTATTTTAGAGTTACACTTAAAACATAATTACAGAATGTTAAATTTTGTAAAAAAAAGTTAAGAATTACAACATAATGCAGAAAGTTATCCACTAATACACTATACAGTAATTATGGTAAGTGTTATAGTAACAAGAGCATGTGGCTGTAGCAGCATTATGATGTTTAAACAAAATGACCTATCTACTTACATAGCCATTTTAAATATCCACAATGAACCTCAGCAATCAAATTGTAATGCATAGTATTTTCCCTTTTACTTTCCATTTAAGTTTACAGTATCTATCCTTAAGAAATATATAATTCAGATTTTGAAACAAACAGCAAATAAAAAGATACAGTACATTGATTGGTAATGCAACATTTGAATAGTTAATGTCATGAACCAAGCACAAAAGCACCAAGTTTCAAGTGGATTAAGCAACAACCAGCTGTGAGCTGTGCATTTGGAAACTTGTGTAGAAGCATTATGATTTATTTTCAGTATGCTTTGTTGAGGCAAAATCAAAATAATGGACCTACAGAACATGACACTCACCCTGAAAATGGACACTTCACAATTCAGAAATAAAATGGGACTTTGAGTGATAAGCTTACATTTTAAAACATGTCAGCTGTTGCTTAAATCCAGCTTTTGGCCTCTTCATCTTAAGCCAACAATTTTATTGTACTTCCCCGGCTGACATTTATTACTCTTTAAGTGTTAAAGCTGTGAATCATTTACAGTGTGCGAGATTGGCATTTTGATAATGCTGTCCTGTGTAAAATGATCTACGTCCCCAATTTATCTCTGGACCTGATTGCAGTCTATTTCTACAGAACAAAGTACTGGGTGTTACACAATCTAGGAGAAAGAACTAAAGGAACAGCCACTGCCTGAGGCATCAGTGCTATGTGAAATGTATGTAGAGTTTTGTTAAAGACTGGTGTCCCATTTATCTGTCTGCATGTTTCTAAAGTCATCACCGTTCTTATATTCTATAAATCTAAACCTCTGCTTAGCCCAGAAGGTTTCTGCCATCGCAAAGGACATATTACTCCAAAATAATACATTTTAATTTTATATCTGTTTTTTTTTTTGTTAAAATGGCCCGCTCTCACTTGTAACCTTTCTTATGTTTGTACAAAGGAATTTATCTTAAAAATGGCGGTGTCCAAGAGGAAAGCATTTTTTCTTCTGCTGATTATTCCCCATTGCTGTTCAGATTAAGGTTGTCTGAGAACAAATTTCAGTTTCTACAAAATGTATTCTGTGGGGTTGTCAGTCAAGTAAGTACTGTAGTTATTTGCCATTTTGGTCATGTTTGAGGTCAGCAGCTTTTCACAAGCTTGTTAATCAAATTACAGTTAAGTAACGGCGTTAACCAGTCACTAATCTTGTAAGAGCAGCATCGTATGGACAGGACAAAGCAACATGTAAACAGCAAGCTAAACATTTAATTTGTTCAATACATGAAATGGAATCAAATGGCAGCCACCATCATTACATCCAATTGTGTTAAATGTTCTATTATCATTATGACAATTGAAGTCAAATGTGAACTTGATGCAAAATCGAACATATGAAAATGACTTTTTACACTGAAGTCCAATAAATGATGTACAGTATTTGCATACTACTGTATTTGGCAATTATTAGTTTTACAAGGAGGCTAGCAGGCTATTACACTGTAGGTTGAGGGCCACCTACAATAGTCTCATTGTTTTAGTGTTCTAAGGCAGCATACTGAGAATAAGCGCAGAGGCAACCACCCATAGTATTATTAAGTTATGAACTGAATAGAGTAAATGTTTCACTTTTTGCCATTTTAAAAACAAGCTAAATTTAACAAGAGGCTATTAAGCCTGTTTCATGGATTTCATACAGCTCGTTCTTGAAAGAAGTCAGAGTAACACTATGGCTAGGTACTGTAGCTTGTTTGTTACCCTTTGCATGAAAAAGTCCAGTTCTCAGTTTTTAATATACTTCTCTTCTACTCTTTGTACAGAGATGTATCCATAGAGGGTATATCCCCAAGGAGGAGCTACACTTCTGTAGAGGATAACGTTTCCACTTTTATAGCTATAACACTAAATAATAATATTATAAAATAATTTTGCTGGATGTAAAAACATTAACAATTTAGGAATTAGTACAATTGGTATATTTGAATGCAATTTCTCCAGCTTTGATTTTGTTTTAAATCAGAATCTTTGCACCTTTGCTTTAAGTTTGTTTTTCACACACTTTTCATTATATAGACAGTACAAAAAAATAACGCAAATTTTCAGATACTGAAAAAATAAATGCTTTTTTACAAAGAGCAACTACTGTAGAAGGCAACTCATTCTCATAGGTGACTTTCTGTGACTGCAAAACTTTATCTTGACAGACACCAGCTGTTTCCATAGTGGAGTTCAATGGACTTGAATGATATCATCTATGCTGTACAATGGAATGTTTCTTACAAAACAGAGGCACTGAAATGGAAAAATCAAAGTCTTGTACAGTCTCAGTACACATATTAAGAAAATGTCTACATCAGATATCGAGGCATGAGATGAACTCCTTTCATCCCCCACTACCCTAGATCTTTTGATCTGTCACTTATCCCAGATAAAAACAAATTACAGCACCTAGATGCGATGGAGATGTACACTTCTTCTTTAAAGGCATTCTTTCCACACTAATGTTTCTGTTCACTTTAACTCATATATCATTGCAAGTGTGTGCCAAGTGACACTCCATCTCACTGCTACCCTGGACTAAGCTATTATGGACAATGGATGAGAGGATATTATGTATTTTCAGGTAATTTATTTCTTGGGGGTGTAATATTCTTTCTATGTTTATTCAGTTTTATTCTCCACTGTGTTTTCAAGTAAGTTTGCCCATTTTTGTTACATCTTAGGTTTCTCGCATGGCCCCTTCAAGAAGGCGTAGACGTTTCAGGAACACCTGACCACTCACCTGTCCCATTTAATCAACACACCCTCAGTTCATCTTTATTTTAGGATGCTCTAGTCATTCACTCTCTGCTCAGTATTTTGGAAGTTCACTTCTGGTGCTTGACGTTCATCGTTTGTCTTGTTACTTTTGGCTTTTGGTTACATCTTTGGCTTGTTTTCTCTTTGACCTCGTTTTCTTGAGTACGTTTTCTGGCTTGCAATTTTGGTCTCACTTTTACTAGCTTTTGGACTCTTGGACTTACTGACCCTTGGCTTCCGACTTTGTTGTGTTTTCCCTTTGGCTTTTGAAATCTCTGACTGGGTTTTGATTCACGGCTTTGAATACGGCACCCTACTACTCTGGACAGGATCTCTCTAGACTCATCCGGCAACGTTCATTCTGTGCTCTTCAAATTTAAAATGAACATCCCTGCATTTTTTCCCCAGTTTTCCCACAATACTCCAAAGACTGCATAAATACCAGTCTTGTGCAAGAGATGTCTGCATTATGTCATATGGCGTACATAGAAGTCTATCATCCTGATACCACTGTGCTTGCATCTATTACTTTCTATGCTTAGGGATGGGTTGACTTATCTCAAAAGGCTTTGTATTTGAATGCAGCACGGCTCTGCAAACCAGGAAGCTTGATTAAAGGAAATAACATTTCATGCCCTTATATTGGCTATCTGCTTTCAGACACAATCTTGAATGTCTCCTTCTTCCCAATGAAAAATGGACAAATCTTCACAAAAGGAAAGCATGAAAGATATATTGCTTGCAACACATTATTAAAAAGCAATGCAGAATATATTATATCTTTCAGACATTGCATATAATTAAATCCTAAGCCAGTTCAACAGACTTAATATTCTAAATGCATTCTAATGCAGCAATAAAAATCTTTAAAGTTTAGTAAAATGTAACTGACCCTTCAAAAAATATTCAACATTAAATCAAAGAGGGATGGGCATGGTGACATAGTGGTCATCATTGCTATCTCACAGCCCTGGGCCCTGGGTTCAATTTCCTGGCTGCTATCTGCTTGGAGTTTATATGCTGTCCCCATAATCACTTGGGTTTTCGCCTAGTGCTCTGGTTTCCTCCCTCCAAAGACATGCTAGGTTAATTGGCTTCTACGTGGTGCTGGTGTGTGTATGTATCGCAATCCTGCCGTCAAAGGAGATGCCCACTTGTCTTATGATTTCTAGTAAAGACTGGGGGTTGAGGGGGGCCCTGCAGGTCATGGAGCAATACTCCGGAACCTCGGGGTCAGAGGTCAACCACCGGAAGAACAAACTGAAGTTCTTTGGATCTTGGAAGGACAGGAAGAACCAGAAGGTCACCAGCTCTGCACGGAACCCCACGAAATACTCGTTCCAGAGCCAGGACAACAAGACCATCAACTGGACCGAGAGGATCACCAGGGTGAACGCAAAGCTGGGTCTGTGTAAAACATGGTCGCTGTCCCTCACGAGGAAAGTGATGGTGTTGAAAGTAGACATCCTGCTGGCTTTGGTTTACCTGGCAGTGGTGTACCCGTTGCCGACCAGACTCAGATTAGCGCTGCAAGGGATGGTCTTCAAGTTCGTCTGGGGAGGCAGGTACGAGTATGTTACAAGGAACCAGATGTGCCAGCCAGTCGAGGAAGGGGGTAGAGATGTACCACGTTTCGCCCTGAAACTTGATTGCATCTTCTACGGCAACCTCTGTCGGGCGCTGCGGGAGCCCATCAGCCACAAGTACCAGTACTTTGTCAGGCTGTGGTTCTCCATCCCAACAAGGCACTTGGTCCAGTGGACAAACA